CCCCAAAACCCCAAAACCCCAAAACCCCAAAACCCCAAAACCCCAAAACCCCAGATTTAGAACTTTTTATAGAAATTATAAATTTATAAAAGCCAGAAGCATAATGTGGCTCACAAGGAGACATTCAATCTTGAAAAGGAGTTTTCCTGTCAGATCCTTTTCCCTTCTCAATTTGTCATACTATGATGGGTCGGAGAGACAGAGAGAGTACACCCTAGCTTACCTTGAGAGAATGATGAAAACCATGGAGAATATGCAAGAGGAAAGATTCTTTGATTATGAAAGAAGAAAGGCCAAATATGACCCAAAAACCGGTAAAATTGAGTTACTCAGATTCACCTTAAAGCCAGAAAAGAAGATTATTAAAAATTTTGATGATATGCAAAGGGAAAAAGCAGAATTGAGTAAAGAGCTCAAGCTTAGCGCTAAAGATGTGGAATCAGCATCTGAAGATGAGCTTGCTAAGAGATATGAACAATTATATGAGAGAACAGAGGAGGGGTACCTCATTAATAGAGCTGATTTCTATGCTGAATCGATAGATAAAATGAGAATCGATTGCGGCTTGATCGTCCAAAGGCCTCCAATCTTTCTCTATCAACATAAATTTGATAGAGATTGGCTAGTGTTTAAAAACAAAATTACTAATGAATATGATTTTGACCTCAAGAAATATTACAAAGAAATAAAGGAAGACGCTTCATTAATGGATTCAATGTTCGCTAACAATCCTTATATAAGTTTAAACAACATTGATAATCTCCCATCACATGAGCAAAAGATGCCAGATGGGACTGTAAAGAGATATTGCGCTTCATCAAAGCATTGGAAGAAGGTAGATCCAGCTGTCACAGATAATAAGAGTCTGCATTACTGTGCTCAACAAAAGATCTATCTCCTTCTCAGGAACAAATACACTGGGAAATGGGAGTTCCCATCGACTGCTGTCTTCGGTACAGAAAGTTTTATGGAAGCTAGGAAGGAATTCTTTGCTACACTTAGTGATAACAAATGGTTTGTTTCCCACAAGAATAGCATGCCTATAGTATCAACTCTTAGACCCTTCACGGAACATGAAAAGAAAGATGAGAAGAATGTCTACCTTCATGGAGTGAGAACTTACTACTTTAATGCTTATCATCTAAGAGGCCTTACTGATATGTGCTTAGAAGATACTGACTGGGACGATTTTGTCTGGGCATCTAAAGCAGATATGAACAAGTATCTCTGCTCGAGGAGATTTGGAATCTTCAATGATATTCTTGAGCATCGTTAAACACTCAGTAATATTTTCTCTCCCTGGGGTTTTGGGGTTTTGGGGTTTTGGGGTTTTGGGGTTTTGGGGTTTTGGGG